GGGCTGGGTCCAAACCTGCCAGCTTGGGTGGATGTGGCCAGCACCCTCCCCACTGAGCTACAGGTGCCACCACCAATTACTGTCTAAACTTGGCCAGAATTTGCTTCCCAATACCTCTTTCTTAGGTTATGTTCTGCTGTTTCGGAAGTGCTGTCTTTGAGGTGATGTAGAGGCAGGCGTGGGGAGCAACAAAGTGCCAAAGGAGGACTCAGCTTCAACCAGAAGATTATAACCTCTTTGTACTTTGGATGAAAGTTGGGAACTGGATCAGCCATGATATTTTAAGGTAAAAAGTTTGTCCTGAAATTTTGAAAACTATTATACAAGCTATAGTGACTTACTCAAGACTATCCTTATCACATACTTCTAGTGTTCCCCTGCCTACTTTTGATAGCTTTAATTTAAAAAAAATGTTTTTTTCTTTAGACAGAGTCTCAAGCTATTGCCCTGGGTAGAGTACCATGGTGTCACAGCTCACAGTAACCTCAAATTCTTGGGCTTAAGCAATTCTCCTGCTTCAGCCTCCCAAGTAGCTGGAAGTACAGGCGCCTGCCACAACGCCCAGCTATTTCTTTTTGTTGTTGTTGCAGTTGTCATTATTGTCCTAGCTGGCATGGGCTGGGTTCAAACCACCCCCTGACCCCACCCCGGCCTCGATGTGTGTGGCTGGCACCCTATCCACTGAACTATGGGCACCACTTAATTTAAAAATTAAAAAAATAATCTGCACGATAAACTCAGTTTAGATTAATGTTCATTCTGCTATTTTTTTGTATGTGTGTGTGAGACAGAGTCTCAAGCTGTTACCCTGGTTAGAGTGTTGTGGCATCACAGCTCACAGCAACCTCAAACTCTTGGGCTTAAGCGATTCTTTTGCCTCAGCCTCCCAAGCAGCTGGGACTACAGGTGTCTGCCACAACGCCCAGCCATTTTTGGTTGCAGTTGTCATTGTTACTTAGCAGCCCCGGGCCGGGTTCGAACCTGCCACCCTAGGTGTATGTGGCTGGTGCCCCTGCAGACTGAGCTATGGGTGCCACCACATTCTGCTAACTATTCAAACTTGGCATTTATTTAAAATCATTTTAAAGAAATCACAGTACCTTTGTATCTTACTGAATATTCTTTTTTTTTTGTAGTTGAGATTTTACTGGTTGTGTTGAACATTTCAATTTGTACAAAATTCTTTTTTTTTTCAGAGACAGAGTTTCACTCTGTTGCCCTCAGTAGAGTGCTGTAGCGTCACAGCTCACAGCAACCTCCAGCTCTTGGGCTCTTGATTCTCTTGCCTTAGCCTCCCGAGTAGCTGGGATGACAGGTACCCGCTACAACGCCCAGCTGTTTTTTGCTGCCGTTTGGCTGTGGCCGGGTTTGAACTTGCCACCCTTGGTATATGGGGCTGGCACCCTACTCACTGAATCACAGGCACCACCCCTGTACACAATTCTTAACATACATACCCAAAATAAAAAGCCATTTATTGTAATTCTTTTTTAAACAGTTATTCCAGTGACTTTCCAGATTAAAATTTGGAAGCAAATTTTCTTTAAGAGGATACCAAGTACCAGTATCTTCACATGTTGATAAGCAGTTGGGTAAGTCCCACCAGTTCACACTTTATTGCCATATATGCTACATGCTCAGATTTTCAGTCCTTCACAGCACAGTTACAAGTTATTAGGAAAACAGGAGCCCCACAACCAAAGATATTACAGAGTGTACACAATTCTGACACAGAGAGCCATGATCACAGGAGTGGTGTTCTTTAGGAAAAAATTCTATTACAAAACAATGTAGGAATAGAAGTAATTTAAAATGTTCAAACATTAAATGCAGGACTGGGACTCCATATCGCCATTTAGTATGCTTTGTATTACAGGATATAAAAACTGACCCCTATTTATGGAATGTTAAGCTCACACCTAAGACAGTCAAAGCCTCCCATTAATTCAACATCTCACACTATTTTCTGGTTGTACCAAAAAATAAACAACCAGCAAATGATTTCACCTTTAAAAAAAAAGCATTGGGTGGCGCCTGTGGCTCAAAAAAGTAGGGCACCAGCCCCATATCCGTGAGATGGCAGGTTCAAACCCAGCCCCGGCCAAAAAAATAAAAATAAAAATAAAGCATTTACACTTAAAAAAACGGGATGAGGTGGGATTCCCTCCTTCTTAAAAATGTTTCTAGAGCTACTAAAAAACTTGCATTTATAAAATAGTTGATAAAAATATTCCTCTGGATTGTACAAGAAGGGAGACAGGGACCACTGATAAGACATGGTATATGACATTAATCAGACGTGGCTTCTTTCTCTCCTGCTTCATCAGCGGCTGGATTCTCTTCAGTTTTAGTTTCTCCGTTTTCTGCTGGTAAATCTTCAGTTTCTCGGTTAGCCACTTTGGCCTGCTTTCCTTTTGTTCCCCTTTTCCCTTTCGGTTGCACTTTTTTGTCTGAAGATTTATCCCTTGCTGCTGCCTTTTTTGGCTTCGTTTCCACTTTCGCAGGAGCAGGTTTAGCTAGGGTGACCAGATGTCCCGCTTTTAAACAATTTGTCCCGCGGCGTTTTAAAAAAAAGTCCCGATTTTTGGAAAGAATGCACAAACGGGCGAGGTTTTCAGCTGCCATGTGGCTATTTCGCCAGAATGTGAGTTTTATATTATTTTTATTAATTTTATAATGTTAAACTGTAATAATTACAAATAATTGTTGAGAAGTGATTATTGAGAACTGCTTATCAAAGTTTGCATTGTTGTCAGGCCCTGCCCTGCCCCATCCCCCGCACCCCCATGTTGTCCTGTGTTACAAATGTTAAAAATCTGG